TAATGATGATGATTCAGACGTTAACCGAAAAAGGTCATTAACAATCGACAGACAGTTCTCTTCAACAAACTATCCTACAAGTATGCAGTAAATAGAAGATAAGCTGGAAAGGATATAAGTTGCCTCTTAACATCTTCCAAACCCAACTTCAGATGCTCAGAAGCTAGCTATTAAACAGCAACGGTTGTTTTGTAACCAATCACTACATAAATAGGTGCACAGAATAATTACCTTCTGTAGGTATTTAGTTCTTGCCTTTTGGTACAAAAGAGCTTAGATGACTGATTAAATTCAGCATCCAAAATTGAGAAAGTTAAATGCAAATATCCAATACAGCAGTGAACTCCATAGTAGCTAGCATGCTGCAGTTCCTTCTTGCCCAAAACTCAATTCCATAGATGTGTGCTGCCATAGATATTAATAATGCTACATTTTCAAGCATCACCTTACTGGGGGTTTCAGTTTCAGTGACTTTGCACCATCCCTCAAAATGGCTGCATGAGTGGCACTGACTGAGCACCATGGGAGCAGTACTAGGGAATGGAACTGAGATAGCTTATATCTTAAGACAGAGAAAATATTAATGTAGTAGTACCTTGAACATTCTATCTCGGATTAAAATTAGCTAGATACCTATTTTGTCATTCACAGTATCATCTGCATCTTGTAGAAATTCTTGCTGTTCTTTTACCAGATACAATGATGGACTGTGAAGCAGCTGCTAAACAGGCAAAAAATATTGCTCAGCATGATCATGAAAACAGACAAGTTAACGCCAGCTTTCTTTAGAAGACTGAGTGATAATTTGCAGTTACCTCCCAGGCTGCTGATCCACCTTGGCCACTAGAAGTTGGCATCTCTGAGGATAGATGTGGACAGAAGTCTCTAAAGCTATTCAACCTGTGCCTGTGGTTCTGCATCAGAACCACAGAGCAAGGCAAAAAAAATAATACATGGTGAAGTGAGTCAGCCCAAGACACAGCTCAAAAAGAACCCTTATAATTAAAACAGTATATAATTAAAGCAGTCAACGATGATGCTGTAGACATTCCTTTCAACACCGTGGCACAATCTCAATGACTGATTTTCCTGCTTGTGGACTCACCTGCTGCTACAGTCACACTGTCATTCAGAAGTATTTTTTTAAGCAAATTAGTTCTCCTTCAGAACTGGCATCACTTAGAAATACATTTCACAAGCCTTAGACAGAAATTATCTGAAAAACAGTGACTGGTTAGCTAATGCTACATCATTCTACACTATATTTTAGTTTGACTCTGAGCTTACCTATTGCCTTTCATACCAGCCTTACGCAAAAAGGCTTTATTTAACCTGTCATTTGCTTGCTACTAAGCACTAACATCTCCCATTCAAAAAAATTCCCTCATGCACCTCCAAGTCTTAGTAAAAAATACCAAACACAGAACAGCATACAGATCCATTACTGAACAATACTACTGCAAGTATCCTTTTCAGAAAGAAAGTATAAGTCTGCTTTGCAATCCCTGGGTTCTAAAACATGACTCTTTCCTAGTGTAACTACTAATACTGTTTTTGATTACACAAAGCATGAAAACTGTGGTCTTTGCACACCAAGATACTTCAGTCTGGAACAGAATTATTACTCCAGTCATCTGATTGCTACCAAATCTTTCAAAGTGCAAGATTAAAAATTTAAGAATTATATAAACTTTTGCCATTAATCAGATCTGTGTAAGCCAAATTCTGATTCTGGACAACAACCTGTTACTTCAATCAAAGCCACTATTTAAACAACAACTCTAAAGATAAATGTTTGGGCATAGTACTTTTCTTTTCTTTCTTTTTTTTTTTTTTAAGAGAACCCTATATATGATATTTTCTGATTTTCATAGATGTTAAGTTCAATAATTTTGTACTACAAACATTTAATGGCCTTTTCACTCTATGTTGCCTAACTGAGGTAAGCTAAGCTACTTCTAGAGAAGCGCAAACATGTCAGCTCCAAGGCTAAGCAACTGCTTTAAATACAGGCTCAAGTACAGAAGGGCTCTAGATGCAGAAGATATGACATTAAGCCCAATTTGGACTAAAAAAATGAATACATTGGATAAATGAATGTAAAAAGTTAAGTCTGACATTATCGAGGTGGACTGTGTTAACAGTACCAATACTGCTAAGGAGTGGTCTATACAGTGCGCCAGAATCCACACAACATGGGCAAGAACATCCTGCACCACTGAGCACAGAATGCTCCCCATACAACCATCTGGATACCATACCTTACTCTGTGTGCTGTCCCACCTCACAGAGAATTAACAGACACATGCTCCAGAGCTAAGAGACAACTGCTAGCACACCTCACCTGACATGCAGTGTGAAGTCTAAAAGCTTTATATACACCAGTTTATGCAGTGCAGTGAACCAAAGCCAATCTCATAATGCTTTTCACAATCTTTACTTTAGCTGTATTTCACAAACTCACTTGCCATGGAACCACACAAATGCAGAAATGCAAGAGATAAAAACAGAAAAGTAACACTCTTCTTCCAGCTGCAGCACTAGTTCAGCAAGTCTACTGAACTCAGTGACACTGCACCTGTCAAAAAGGTGTGTCTGTGACCCTCAAGGTCAAATCTGGGATGACACATTCATGGTTCAAACACTCACCTAAAGTTCCGTCACAGATGCACACATTTCTCCAGAATATTAATATAAGTTAGCATCTAAGAACTGAAAAATTTCTGGCTGAGATTATGAGTTAAAAAAAAAAAAAAAAAAAAAGAACAAGATGAGATTATTGTGATTTCTGTTCTCATTAAAGGATTGAACTTGACTGTGCTCATCAGTCGAAAATGATGGTGCTCTGAAAGAGTTTCAAACTGACAACCCCAATTTTCAGAAAACAGGGTTTTTTCAGAACTGCACGCTTTCTATATACAATACACTGACACCAGGTATTTAGTGGCTACACGCTGAAATTCAGTCAAATTGTTAATTCCTACAGAGTTCTCTTAATCATTATTTGTTACAACTGGGGAAGATGTAATGTAATCTAGAGGCTGTTTCAACTATGTGGCAAACAGCATCATCTTGGCAGAGTAAATTGTGGAACAGAAATCCTTAGGCTGGCAAGGACGTCTGGAGATCACTTGTCTCACCTTCTGCTGAAAGCAGGGGCTTACATTAGATTACCCAGGGCCTCAATGGGCCAAGTCCTTAAGAGAGATCCCACCACTTTCCCCAAGCAACCTATTCATAATTAACTACTCTAAGTGGGCAGAATGTTTTTCTTACATCCACGGCTTGGGGTAGAAGGGACTGTAAAGATTCAGTTTCAACATGCCTGTCTGATTCAGGCAACTTACCATTCAGCTTGGCCCTAAATGACACCAGGGATGGGACATCCACAATTTCCCTGGACAACCTGTGTGTCACCACACTCTCAATGAAGTACTTCCTCCTAACATCTAAGATAATGTACCCACTTTTAATTTAAAACCATTCCCCTTTCTCCTGTCACTACCAGACTGTGTAAAAAGTCAGCTTCCATCTTTTATCTAAGGTCCATTTAAATACTGAAAGGCTATGTGAAGTCTCCCAAGAGTGTTCTCCTCTGCAGGCAGGATTCTCCCTGAAGCAGCTTAGTCTCATAGCCCCTTGTCAAGTCATCGTGCTCCCTTTTGAAGGCTGCACCTCCACCTTTCTCTGAAACTATTTTCTAGATAATGGAAAGCAGTGATCCTTCTTGAGCTCCCTCTTTTCTAGCCTGAAATTTCATATCTTCAGCATTTCTATGCATGCTAATGTGGTTAATGGTAGCCCTTCATGCTATGATTCCAACAGACATTACACAATGGCTTTCACGCCTAGATAGAGCTTTAAAAAAAATCACTCAGGCTTCTTGCTGCTATTTAAATTAAATGACAAAGTACACAGAAACATAAGCTGACACTCAACATATTAGAGCTTTGCTTCTCTGAGATCAAAATTCATAATGCTCTTCTTGAATATACAGTTCCATGTTATTATGCACAACAGCCCACAGTAGTTCTCTTACAGTTGAAAAAGAAGCATGTTTGTGTGAAGTGCTCTGAATTGAAGGAAGGCTTGATTTAACAGGAAGGCTTGGCCAAAGTCCTTTGACTCCTCACAGAATGACTTCTAGAGATTATGAAGTGTGAAGCGTTTGATTTCGTTGGTCAAAAAAGATGCCAGATCCTTTACATGTAAAGTGTTTTGGTTTTTTTTTTTTTTTCACAAGTTCTGACTGCGAAATTATTTATCTCCCTCTGCCTCAGAAATAACATACTACTTTATGCAAAGAGCTCAATTTGAAACGAACGCATTCAGAGGCCGTGAACGGGTGAATGCTTGGCACTGACATATTTCATTTCTGTTTGAATGCTTTACTCTAGCGAGTGAACACTTAAACGACTTTTGTCACGCTAACGAGCCTCCGCGCTGACAAAAGCCTGGAGTGATTTATCCTTAAATCCGCTTTCAGGGCGGATGAGAAGAACGAGGCACATGCCTGGAAACAGATTACAAAGGATCAACAAGTCTTCCCTCACGGACGCCGGGGCGCTCAGCCCAGCACCGGCCGAACCTGTCCGCTTCGCGGGCTCAGCGTGCCGCGCAAGCCTTCCTCACCTCACCCCACCTCACCCCACCCCACCGCGCCCGCCCCGCCGCCCAGCGCAGGGTGCGGAGCCGCAGACGGCTCCTCCAGCCCCGCACCTCGCGGGGATCGCCGCCCGGCCGCGGAGGCGGGCAGCCCCGTCCGTGCCCCCGCGCGCAAGCAGGACTACCTGCTGGTCTCCAGAGACGAGTACCGCTCGGGCAGCACCTGCAGGCAGCGCTGGAAGAAGCGCACGTGCCGCTCCTTCAGGAACTCCAGCCTCTCCGCCTCCGCCCAGCTCGGCGCCGCCATCTTGCCGACACGCACTGCCGGCGCGCTGCGGCTGCGTCACGCGCGGCCCCGGAGTGACGTCACGGCGGGGGTGGGAAAGGAGCTGGCAGCTGGCGGCTTACAGCAAGCGGTGCTGGAGTGTAAAGCCTCCTGCTTCTTGTTTTTAAACACGGAACGGGTGTGTCTGCAGGGTTAATGTTTTCTGGTAAGAGCCGTGGCTTACCATTTCAGATTTTTTTCCTTCGTCAACCCGTTAGAAAGGCTAAAAATGGCTTTTTAGAGCAAAAAAAGAGTAAGTTGTTCAAGTGACCAAGTTGACATGTGCCTCAGGCTAAAACACAGAAAGATGGTGTGTCACCTTCTCTCTTAGTTTGGCCAATCTCCTTTTTTTCCTTGCTTCTCTACTCCTTTACCTTGCTTTTACACAGTTTGTAGCTTAAGTTTTCGTAGATACTGAAACAGACAGAAGAGGATAAGCTAATTCCCTTACACATATTTTGAGTGAAAATAAATGGTACCAAAACATGTATGTATGCAGCAATTTGTCAGCTTTTGCCTTGACCTTCTTTTGCCCTGGTGCAGAATAAATTCACATGAAACAGTACTGAAAAATCACAAAGGCTGTCTGTGAATGAAATTTAGTGTGAATATGGACAGCAATACCAGTTCTCAAGTAACAAATTCACACTGAGACTGGACATAACTAGATATTACAGCTACTGAAAGCAGCAGGATCGACAAACATTTATTTTTATGACTATATCTGTATGTAACAATTGGGTCTCTCACTCTCCATGAAAAAAAAAAAAAGTCGACATCAATTCAGCCATTTTTCCCAAACAGACTGAATTAAACAAAATCATCTCTATATTTAGAAACACAGACTTCAATAATCCTACAGCCAGAACTCAAATACTGAGGAAAAGAATATCTTTGTCCAGAACAAATTTTTTATACTGCATGTTGACAGACATTGTTACTCCCACCAAATTAAAAACAGATTTAAGTGAGTAGAACTAGAGTGTCAGGGATTTAAAAAAAAATCAAAAGCATGAAAATTTTTAGCAGATTGAATCATACAAGGAAATTGGTAAATTTAACATAATTGTATGCGTGAATGGAGAGCTCATTACTTGAAAACACTCTTGAAATTCAGTAATTTCTTCTGCAGCAGTTCTCCTCCTTTTCAGCTTTCTCTCTTTTTTCCTTCTCAAGCTTCTCTTTGTTCTGCAAAGTATTCCTTTCCACCAGTAACTTCATGTGGCATTGGTGCTGGCATTCTTTTAGTTTCTTTTTCTCTTGCTCTTGCTCTAGTTTTACTTGTGATGCTTGTTCCATCGCAGATGTTATTGCTTTCTGTTTTTTCCATGCTGAAATTGCTGCCTGTTGTCGTCTTCTTTATTCTGCTTTTTGCATCTGATCTTCATACTGAAGCCTTTGAACAATTTCTGATTTCTCTTTCTTCTTCAGTTTTTCTCCTTTTTCTCTCTGCTGCTTTTCTTTCCATTTCTTAATTAACTGCAGTAGAACAGCAGGAAATAAAAAAGATCTTCATTAAAAAAAAAATTTTACACATTCCTGTTGATTGGGTCTGATAAAAATATATGCTACAAGAATACAAACTGAAGATAGCATAACAAATCTATTTAAGGTAAAAAGACAAAAGAGCAGAACCTATTTCTGCCTTCTTACATTCATTTTTTTTTTTTTTTTTTTTATTTTAGGCACCACACAGGGAGGCTAAGACTGGCCAGCTGAAATAAGTTATGGAATTCATATTATCTTGGGATAATTATGACTACTGTTGTCTTTTTCCTCAATGCAAATTTATGTTTTTGTTTTGTTTTGTTTTTTTCTTTCTTCAGAATAGCAATTCTACTTTCTTCTTTTTAATGTATGTCTGTATATTTTTTGTTTTTCAAATAAATATAGTTCTTGAAAGAATTGTAGTTTTCTGCATCAGAATTTGACTGGTGTACTGCTTACATAATGGGACAGACATTCTAAAGGACATGTAACAAGAACTGCAGCTTCAAATGGGATAGCTTACTGCTCTGAGACTGGCATCTAACATGCTGGACAATTTCCATTTAAGCATTTATAATACACTCTTGCAATACTCAGTCCATATCAGTATGCTGTCAGGTCTACATTTGTTTGTAACTCTTTAAGACAAAGATTTTGTTAAGTTGAGGATGCTAAAGAAGATTTCAGTTGCTTATCACCAACTGCAACAGAAATCCACTGAGCACTACCCCTAGAGAAGCAAATACAAAAATAACAAGTGCATGTATTTTAAAAATATTATATTTTCCTTAAAGCTACAAAGCCCCCAGAATAGTCATTTTACCTCTTTTTTTTTGTCTTGTAAAATGAGAAATTCTCGATACCATATGCCATGTTGTTCAACATCTTCTTTTGTTCTTCCACAGAGATACTTGAGGGCTTCATCCACGTAGGACAGCTTCCCTTTGTGTTTAGTCCATACTTTAAGAAAATTCTGATGATCACCATCATCCCAACCTCCTTGCCTTCCCCCTGTTTGCTGCAGAAATCTTTCAAACTCTACAACTTCTGCAGGTAGATGCTTTCCCAGTGTTTTATTAACTGAGATCCTAGCTGACGGTAACTTCAAAACTTCTTCTGTTGTTGAGCTGCTCGTTGCCCACAGTTCCACTTTTTTCTCAAAGATGCTAAGCTCATTAACTGCAGTTTTTTCATCCTTCAAAAGCTGTTCATCTCTAAGAAGAGAAAGAACACTGGAGTGTAAGAATCCAACAGTCAATGCTCACCGAAAATGAACTTTGGAACTGCTCAATGCCACAAAAAAATTATTCTTGAAAGATTAAGAACTGACATGGTAACACAGATGAGAACATAGTTGTAACGATTCCAAATGAAGCACAATAGAATTTGAATTAAGTTACCCTTTTAGTGGAAGCGCACACATACGGGAGGCAAACAATTCACTCAGTCCTCTCCTGACACCACAGGAAAGAAAGGAGAAAAAAAAAGTTCACTTAAAAATAACAAACAATCTAATCTGTTCTGCAGCTTTTCTCTGAATCTGAATAGCCTTTTTATAAGCAAATGGTTGTTATGTTAAACCATGCAACAACTATATTAACAGCCTCTTTGGAATGTTAATGTGTTAATTGTTTGAGTTTTGATTGACATACTACAGCAAAAGAGAAAAATAAAAAGAATAGTTTGATTGATACAAAGCTTTCATTGTGTGTCAGGAAAGCATTTTTGTAACTGAAGCAGACATAAACGTACATTTGTCTCTGTTCATCTTTAAAAGTATTGATTGCAATTTCAATTTCTTCCAACATTTCCTTGAGCTCGTCAACAACTAAAAAGGAAAATAAGAACATATCACCTGAGAAGTTTAAAACATTTTAATAATAATTCTCCATTATCCATAATTGTAGAGAATATAAAGGATTCTGAAATGCCATTATTTCAGAGTACAAAAAAAGCCACAATTCCACTTCTTTTACAAGACCCTCATTTATTCAAAAGGCATGATTTCACAGTGACTTAGTCAACTAAATACAAATCCTGATATAAATGTTTACTTCAGTTGAACAAAAATCTTATTCTAGGTAACCTTCGATTCAGAAAATGAGACAGCCTTATCCTAAAGTAAAGAGTTTCCACTTTTGTCTTTTGTAACAATGCAGTTAGTGACTTTGAAAGCACATTCTAATCTTTTTTCCCACACCAGACTGTACCAAGTATATTTAACCTACAGCTCACTGCTTTATTCAAAGCTGGGCTTACAAAGTGACTTCAGAAAGTAAGACTTGTATTCTGTACTGTCAGCATGCTGTAAACCTCATCTGCAGAGGGTGGGTAAGCCTGCTGTTTAGAGAAGACCTCTCCTGCAATGGTAGACAAATGTTTTGGAATGTGTGCGTTTTAAACCTGCAGAACAACCCTACAGATGCAATGAATACAGTTTAACTTGGACCTAACTGACACCATTATATCATCTGTAACTTTTAGTTCCACGTACATCTTGATCTGGCATCTCTGCTAATGATTTAAGGAAGAAGATGCTTTTTTTTATATATACTATAGACACTCAATAAATGAAATGACATGCATGTCATCTAGCATCCTCAGCTGCTATAAGAGCTTCAGCTTGAGTTCAATTACACTGCAGTAGATTTAGAGAAGAATTTTTCTTTTAGTGCTTGTTTCCCAAGAGGTTCAAATCAAACCGAACAAGTTGCCTCAGCATTTCATGCAGAATATTTCTGCTTGCGCTTCAAGCTAGATGGTCTGTGGATGGCTTGAAATTAGTTCCATGAAGATACTCTGTGACCTTCTACCAGATGATAAACTGCACTACAAAACTACTGTACATTAAAAAAAGCATATAGAAAATACTTGACTTCCAGCATTCTGAAAAAACAAACCCATGTAACTTCTGGGACAACATGTATTTCTCAGTTTCTGCTGAGAACTGCAAGAGGTTTTACCATTTCTGACATTTCTCCTTCCTTATCTCTCCCTTCCCAGATTCCTGGAAGAGCAAACAAACCACAGAAGCATCCGAAGACTGTAAGAGAATCATAAGCAATATTCAAAGGAACCTCTCTATGAAGGAAAATGTTTTAAAATCTGTTTGCATAACTTACATTCTGATGTATGTTTCACATCTTCCAGTTGTTGCTGAAGTCTCTTCACGTTATTACGTATTTTTGTTAGCTGCTGCAGGATTTTAGTTTCTGTTAAACAAAATACAGTGCTGGTAGTCCTAATGGTTTCTTTGTCTAATAAATTCCATGCAAGATTAAAAGCAACAAAACATCCATAATAAACCAGTAATTTCATTCAAGCAGTAAGTTCTGTTTAATCACATGAAACTGCTGTTTATACCACCCATTTTAACATAACTGTAACTACATGTAGCTGAGTGCATGTACTATACATCACCTCATCAGGTTTTAAAATTAGTAGCTTCTTTCTAATGGTGTCAACAGTGTAGTCACATAGAGATTAATGCAGTTTTCTCTAATGTTTTTATCATGTAACTGGATTAGGAGAACAATACTGCCTGTAAAGAAAGCATCTCCACCTCAGTTATGAGTCAGACTCTCTCCTATACCTCAGAACAAACTTGGAATCATAATGAAGAAAACAACTTACATAAATCTAGTTAGAAATCATATGGTATTTGCTGTGTTAACTGAAGTAGAATTAGTGTTTGCAGGAACTTCAAGCATGCCTGTGCTTATTTACTTTGTTACCATTTAGGAGTTTATGAGTTTGTAGGCACTATTAATTAGTATGAAGCTCTGGGCCATTACAAGGTACTACGGAGTCCTCTATCCTAAAAGGATTGGTTTATAGGAAGAAATAAGTAATAGAGTCCAAAATCTAATGAAACATAGCTAATACGTGATCCTACTAATTCACAGTAAAACTACAGAACAAGTAGAAACACATAGGTTGTGTTGAAAGACCTTAACGAAGTAGCACAGTAAATGAGAAGCCTGGGAGATATATATATGCACCCAGAAGATCCTACCCTAACGCTTTCACATCTCACATCTAGTACCTTAAAACTCTTTTTTATATTTTTATCTTGCAACACTATATATATCCATACTTTCATACTTCTCCTTACACCTGAAACATTTTCTGATCTTTTTAGCTTAGTCATTCCTTGGAAATATTCACATTTCTTAAGGATTGTAAGATATAAAAAATAGGACAAGATCTGTCAGTTAAGATATCCATATTGAAATACATACAGATTTGTGAGGAAAGTGTATTTCCAATTGTTTCCTTGAAATCTTCCCCTTATTCAACTTACATAGTTTTGATATTCTGTATCAAAAGACATAGCTTGATTTGATTACTTTGAAAAAATTTAGGTACTTCATCCAGGTTGTCACTTTCTGTCTTTCACCATTTAATTAGTATGGCAAGTGGAAAAGATGATACAGGACACACTATGTTTATCATCTCACAGAACTATTTGCACTACGAATATTTATTATCCAAGAAAGAGAAAAATGCAGCCACAGAACTGAAGAGTTCTGTGTTTTGTAGTCAGGGTAAGAAAACCTTCTTTTATGTATCTTAGCAAGATTATAATAGATTTTGCAGAAATCTGTTATAATCCTACAGAGTGACTGAGATAAGACTGAGAAATGATTGACATAGGAAATCTAAATTAAGCATACAAAATTGCTTCTAGGTTTCTAAAACAGTAAGATTTCACCTAAATTTTTGATAGTGATATCTGCTGCATTTAAGTCTAAAAGAAAACAATAATAGAGAAGGCTCAAGATGTTTATGCTACTGAATTTTGAAAGTGAATCAAGAAATTGTTCTTTACAACCATCAGTAAAATAGTTCAATCATCAGTAAGACACTTCAATCAGAATCTACCTCTCAACCACACTAATCATTCTAACACTGCTAATTAAAAAATTAAGCAAACAGCTGTAAAAGTCAGCAAGCAAACAGAAGAAAAAAACATATGAAAACAACACCCCCAAAAAGGTATCTTACTTTCAGTTTTCCTATCGACAGACATTTTACATTCCAGTTCTTCCAGAATGCTGTATTCTGCTCTGGAATCACTCTTCCTATTGTAAAGACATCCATTTTTGTCCTTCTGTATATTTGCAAGCCTGAAAAAATAATATTGCCACATTAAGCAAGCAAAGCAGCAAGATTTTTAAACATTAGTATATAGGTGATACTGGTCAGCAGAAGCATCTTGTATTTTGTACAATTTACTGGTTTACTCCTACTACCATTCTCAAGGGAAACTCTTCCAGTTATAAGCCTATGCAACAAAGTAACCCAAGAATGTGGACAAGCAAGTTAAAGAGGAAATTATCTAATGGACAAGTAGTGCTTCACACAGTAAAACAGTGAGAAGCTTTATCTGCATGATGAATGCTTACTAGGGAGCCTTATGAGAAGAAAGCACTGATGGGACACAGGCTGTATTACTGCAGTTGCACACATAGATGGAGCCCCAGCAAAGACAAAACAAGTGTATTCCCTCAGGGTTATTTACACTGGCAGTGGTACTACTACTACTGCAACTGAATATTCAAATTCAAGTTAATTAAAATTGGAATAACTCAAAATATTAAAGCTGCTACCGTTTGTCACATACAGATTCAGTCCTGTATATTTGTTTCCTTACCAGGGTAAGAAACTTTCAAATACAACTCAAACTATGTTCTGCTTTTTTCTACTACAACTAGGCAGTTCGCTAAAATTTGACCCAGAGAAGCACAGGTGCAAAAGCACCACAGAAACTGAAGTCCATAGCATATCTGTGTAATTTGATGCTACCATTAAGAGATCAGAGCAGTACAAACTGATGCCATGCTGAACAGAGATGCAGCAGTTAGCAGTGTCAAGCAGAACTACTGACAACCTAAAAAACCCTGTCTCTCAGAATGAGGTTGTTTCTACAGTAGGCTATAGATGCTGTGTAGTTGAATCCTCTACACAGCACAGAGATGCCTTCATAGTTTAAATGCTTTGCTGCCCACTGGAGTTCACGGACCAGACGAGAGTGATAAAATCTACCACAGTGTACAGGAAGCCTTAAGAGCACAACTACAGAAGGACTGAAGTGTGCCATAGTTAATGGCATCCAAAGCTGCTTGAGAATCCCTACATAACTCAGCAGTCAACTTCTGAGCCATTATCCAGACTCCAGGATAATTAGAGGAGCTGATCTAATCAGATGGCAATGTGTCTCCATGAGACTACATAGTTCATTCAAGATTTCTAACTAGAAACTTCAGCCACCTGGAGTTGGCTGTCTAAGCCAGATCTTCCTCATAAAGCTCACCTGCTCAAGGATTCTGTTCTTTCAACCACCAGAACAGTTATTACAGCCCTTATTCAAGACATAGGGAAACAAGTTTATATTACTACTGTGCTTGAGCTGTCCTGAATTCCCATTTTCAAAAGCACCAATATTCTAGAAGTGCTCTCAATTTCCTATGAGGAAGTTCCTTTAATGCTGCCACTATTTCTGCTTTGTTGAGATGTTTTAAAGGCTTTAATTCCCTAGGAAGGCTAGCACAGCTAAGTAGGAAAACTAAGAACTCAGTAATGCTGCATGCACACCCAAGTAGAAAAACAGGGAACCAAGTAATGCCACAGACACTTCCATTTTTGTGAATCAACTGAGCACTAGCAAACTGAAGGAGACAACTGATCAAAGTCCAGGTGGTAATTAAAACAAGGGGCAACTTCAGAGCTCAGAAGCTTATCCTAAATTACTATAACCATCATAATAATCTACCTGGGATTCTGCAAATGAAATTGTAGCCTCAATACTTAATTACCATGAATTATTACCTTGAAGCATAATTTATATTATAGAGTCACAGAATTACAGAGATTGGAAGGAACCTCTGGATATTATAGAGTTCAACACCCACACAAAAGCAGGTTCCCTACACTAGGTTGCACAGGAAAGTGTACAGGTCTCAAATCCAGAGGAGACTGCACCACCTCTTTGGGCAGCCTATTCCAGTGCTCTGTTACTCTCAGGATAAATAAGCTCCTCATGTTTGTATGGAATTTCCTATGTTCCCAGCCCATCATCCCTTTTTCATAGAGTCCACTCCCAACAACCTGGCTCTCATATTTAAGATATTTGTAAAGAGTGGTGAGATTCCCTCTCAACCTTCTCTTCTCCACACCCAAGAGCCTCAGGTCTCAGGCTTTCCTCATTCTGGAGATATTACCTTCAGAACAGCATGAAATTACACTCAAGTTTGGTTTTTTATTTGCTTTTTTTCTTTTTTTTCTTTTTTTTTTTTTTGCTTACTGAGTTCTTAAATTTTCTGCTATTCTTACAAATTCTGTTTCCTTAGCTTGTTCAGCTTTCATCTTGCAGTTCTGAGTTTGTCGAGCAGCACCTGCAGCACTGAAAAAACTGTCATTCTGTAAAATAAGACAAAACATTCAAAAACAGTATTTTGTTTTTAAATACTGGCTGTTTTCAAGCAGACGATGCTGAGATCATGAACAACACGACTTCAGTTTTACACTGCTGTACTTCAAAGAACTTTAAATCATGCTGGTACAAAAGTGATGGGATGGCAAACCTAGGTGTGAATATAAAAAGGCATCCTTCAGCTCAGAAATGGAACGAACAGCAGCTCACTTTAGCAGAGACAGCTGATCTCACTGACCCTGCAGCCTTGCCTTCATGGCTGCTTTTACCCGAAGATTCAGAGGTAACTCAGCACTTGGTGGTAAGCACACAACCAGCGTTAGGCAGACCGCGCCATCTCGTCCAAGGAAAGCACGCCGGCCTGACTTCTGAAAGCCTCTTAATATTCCTCGCACACGTTAACTCTTAATTCACAGCAACTTCGCAGCTCTCCCGCCACGCCCCGGCCCTTCCCGCCCCTCTGGACGAGCCGCCCGCGCCCTCGCTGCGCGCTCTGCTCTCCGTAGGCAGCCGGCGAGGCGGGCTTTGCGGTCGGGCCTTTACCTGCTGCTGCCGCCCCAAGGCCGCCGCGCAAACCGTTGCCAACGCAGCCATGTTGGCCTCCGGCAGCCGCCGCCGTCCCGCCCCGCGCCGGGCGTGGCCGTGGGTCCGTCCGACGGGCGCTGCTGAGCGAGGGCTGCTCGCCGCCCTGTGGGACTGCTGTGTAACGCTGCGGAGCGTTTAGCGCTTCAGACGGGGCGCTGACATTGTAGGGAGTGGCATTCGCTCTGGTGCTCTGAAGGGAAAACCTGATCTGGGGAAAGAGGTCCTGAATTCCTGGGCTGGGGATAGTGTGCAGGACCTTCAGCAGCGTGGCACGGGCGGGAGGTGACTGCCCTGGGCCTGGTTCTGGCTGGAAATAGAGATTTATGTTGTTCAGTACAGTCAAGCTATCATCACAGAATTACAGAATGGCCTGGGTTGGAAAGGGCCGCAGTGGTCATTGAGTTTCACCCCCCTGCTGTGTGCAGGATCACCAACCACCAGACCAGGCTGCCCGGAGCCACATCCAGCCTGGCCTTGAATGTGTATCAAAATCTCGTTTTTCACTCACGTATTCACAAAACTTCCAAGGAGTTGCCATTCAGATTTTCTATTTTTATGCTGTTGCATATGGAAACAACTACACTATACATTTCACTTGTGAGAGAGAAGCAGAAATGTATTTACTCATTTAGTACAGATGTAATGCAGTGATCTAACGTGTCAACAGGATTCGAGATGGCTAGAGACACTGGATTATTTACCGCATGGAGGGCAGGGTTAAACACAACACACATAGGGATCCTGGGTTCAGAACACACATGGGGATCCTGGGTTCAGCTGAGGCAGTGTAAAAAGCACATAGATGTTTTCATTATTAGTGAGTGATAGATGCCACAGTGGAGAAGAGCTGCTGCCAGGATGGCACAGCAGCAGGGGATGGGACGGAGCCAGGACAGCCAGCCTGAATCAGGCATGAGGTTATTCGATACCATGTGACATGGTGTGGAAGGCTGGAAAGCTGTGGGGAGTTGGCTAAGGGCGTGCTGCTCTTGAGAGTATGCGGGGTGTCAGTCAGCAAGTGGTGAATAATTGTGGATATAGTACACATGTGCATAGTTCCCATTTCATTTCTGTTTCTGTTTTCCTTTTCTGTCTTATTAAATAGCTCTTATCTCAACCAATGAGTTCTGTTTTATTTTCAGTTCTCTCCCTGGTCTCTCACTCTGAGAGTGAGTGAGGAAATGGTTGTTATGTGCACAGTTGCCTGCTGGATTAAACCACTCCTTTCAGCACCCAATATGAGGCTCGAAGGGTTGACATAACAGCACATCTGACCAGTTGGTGTGTGGCTGCTCCCATCTCACCCAGGGCTGTGAGTGCAAAGGAAGGGCATTGCACAGCCAGAGCGCTGGGACTGCAGCATAGTCAGAGGAGATGCAGCTAGGATGGTCTCTGCAGCTTTCTCACACCCAAAAAACCAAGGGCCAGCTTCTCATCACCTTCAAGTTAAAGCAGGATAGAAGGAGAAACAAGCCAGAAACAGGCTGGAAAGTTGGACAGCGGAAACTAGTGAGGCTGGATAAGGGCAAGTGCAGAGAGCTACATCTGTGGGGGAATAATTGCACACATCAGTAAAGGTTAGGGGCTAACTTGCTGACTTGCTGGGCAGGAACTCTGCAGAGAAGGACTAAGGTATCCTGATGGATAACAGATTGGCCATGAGCCAGCAGTGTGCCCTTGTGGCCAGGAAGACCAAGGGTACCCTGGGATTGCATTCAAAGAGTGTGGCTAGCAGGGCAAGGAAGTTTATCTTCCACCCCTATTCTGCCCTGGGGAGGCACATCTTGAATACTGTGTCCAGCTGTGGGCTCCTCAGTACAAGAAAGACAGGGAACTATTGGAGAGAGTCTAGTGAAAGGCTACAAGGATGATCAATGCCACAGGCATCTCCCTCATGAGATTTGAGACTGCAGCCAAGAGGAGCAGGAGGTGATCGTAACAATGCTTATAAATATCAGAAGGTTTGAAGTCAAGTGGATGGGGCTAGGTTCTTTTTAGTGGTGCTCAGCAACAGGACAAGGGATAACAGACACAAACTGGAACACAGTACAAAAAAGTTCCATAGAAACATGAGAAAGAACTCAACTACCAATTGAGCTGGCCTTGCTTAGTCAAAGCTCTTACATACTGTAGAAGGAGACAAAGGACAGAGCCCCTGCTGTACTGAAAAACATGCTGGATAAGACACCAGTGTTATGAGTGCCTTGGGCAAAGGCAAGACTATCGGAGGAATAGCTTTTGAACCTTGGTGAGTGATGCAGGAGAATGGTGAAGTCTGATGTGTACTTTAAGGATTTTTGATGTTGGTGAGAAGAGCCAATAATTTGAGTTATATTATACTGCATGTAATCACTGCTATGGTTGCTATATGCCTTATATATAGTAGTACTGTAAGAGTCACCCATATTAATGAATTTTGACCTTTTTTTTTTCAAACCAGAACTGACTCCAGCATGCAACAATCCAGCATCATGCATTATCTCTCCTGCCCTGAAGAGCTGTTGTGATAGATGGAGACAAATCAGGCTAAATGAATTCCATGGACATTTTACAGGGTTAGCCCAAAGACTATGGAAATGATATCTGTGTAATAAATCAGGATGTCTGGGAAAGCGTGGGACCTGAGCATGATATAAATTATATGGAAAAAGGGTTGGATATTGTCCTGGTTTCAGCTGAGTCATTGTTAATAGCACACCAGTGTTTGGTTACTGCTGAATGATGGGGTCTGCGCTGGGCTCAGCTCCTCAGTGGGGAAGAGTTGCTGTTTTTATGGCACTGTGGGAGGGTGTGAGGCAGAGTCAGGGCAGATGGCCTTGATTTCGCAGGGGACAATTCTGTACCACATGGCATCATACCGAAGGCCATAACTCTGTGGGAAGTTAGATGGGGACTGGATGCTGCTCATGGTCTGGCTGGACATTGGTTGGTGGTGGTAAGACATTGTGTTGCTAGTGAGGTATGAGCTGGCAAACAGTTGCCGTGTTAGCTGAGTGTTGGTCAATGGGTTGTGAGTAGTTGCACTGAGAATATATATATTTATATAGTTATAATCACATATTTCTTTCCATTTTCCATTTTTTTTTTTTACTTAGAATTTTTTTTTAACTTATGAATTCTATTTTGTCTCCAGTCCTCCTCCTTGTCCCTCTGAACAAATGGCTATATGGTGTTCTGCTGTCTGCCAGGTTAAACCACAATAACAGGAGCTCCTCACATTGAGTCAAGAGGTTCAGAGAGGACCTTAAACTCCTTGAACCACAGAGGTAAGGAATCTAGATGTGGCTAGATCCACTGTTAGTTCCAAGTCTGTGGTCAGTGGTTTATGTCTAAGGGATCCTATGCGCACAAGCAATTAAGTTGTAATCTTAGTGAAGGTAAGAAAGCTTACCATCAATCTGAGGTATAATCTCAGTGAAACTATTGAATCTTAGTACAGTTAGTCACTTACTAAAGATCTGCATCGGCAGCATGTCTTGACGCCAAAGCATAAGGGATCTCTGTGCAGTCAAAACCACATGATGCATCCCTTCTCAAGGGAAGATCCTGCTGTGCAGCCTGCTGCTCTGCAGAAGAGCTTAAGGGGCTTTTGTGCTGCTCATTATTTACAGAGTAAGATGATTGACTCATGATCATATGTTTTTTCTTTAAGCACGTACTCAACTGGCATTCAGTGTCTGAACCAGATGTCTGTTACCAGTTCTTTCAGTCCCCCAGTTAGTCATTAACTGCTGTATTGAGAGTGTTTCCTGCACTCTTGCTGAAGCTGTACATGCTCAATGCTTTCAAAGAACTTTTGGCTAGCCTACTTGCATCGGAGAAGTCAGCTCTGGGCATGGCAGTGGTTGTGTTTGGGGAATCCAAAGCAAACTGTGCACTGTCTCTATTTCTTCCAAACTGTGGCTGTGCCCAGGTCAACCAGATGGTGAATTCTTGTGGAGAGGTCATAAGAAGGGTGAGGAACTACTTAGGATAGGGAGCTGGTTAATGCACAAATCTAGTAAAAATGAATAGAAAATAAAGCTAGATAATCCTCATCATAAATACATAGGAGCTAAACAATACTGAAAACTGTATTTTCTATCAAATGATGCATTATGTCCAACCTACAAAAAGTCTCAGGAAATTACAATCTGCTGTGGTTAATCTGTACACTGTAGAGTTTCTGACACTGCTGACACTGTTGTAAGATTGAACTGGGAGTATGGAGAGGGATACCAGTGTTGTATTGTGGTTTCTCTCAGAGTACTCAGAGTTGTAGCGCTTTGTGTCTCAGAATAGGCCACATGCTGAAATTTCTTCACGGTCTCTCTTTGAAAAGAGAGATTGAAAATCTGATTGGAAACCACATAAGTATTTCAGAATTTATACGTATATAGTAACATGTTTACTGAAAATGCTTGCAGTGCTATGACAGTTGAGGATAGCAGTGACAGTCCTCAGTCTTGCGTAAAGAAAAGCCTGCAGGAAGAACCTGTGTTGTGACACTATTGTAAGCACAAGGCATCTGAACTGAGATTAGGATTTCAGATAATTGGGTTCATTACCACTTATTTCCTCTGTGAGCTTGTCAGGCATGCTTGTTCTGAGAAGAGAAGGTGCTAACAGCATTTGCCTTCTTGACAGGAGAGGGTTGAAAAAATAACCACTTAAAAAGATAGAGGTATTCTGGCTTGGATTTGATCTGAGAAAGGCTGCAATCTGCTCTACCGGTCCCCACTTCACCTGCAGTTATCTCTGGCTATGGTGACAGATGTGATATCTCTGGCTACAAGAGCTCTTTGATGTCATGAGATCTGAGAGCATCTGAGGGGACTTTTGACTTTGCTATCTCAAGCTCCAAGAGCAGCCATTAGGTGTGGTGAGGCAGGACATGGATATACACAGAAGAAGTAAAACCAGTAAGATCTATGGAAACTGTCTACATATAGAACCAACCCCCCATTCTTCTTCCTCTCCCCCTCCCCCCCAAAAAAAAAATCCCACCAAAAAAACAGCAAGCAAATGAACAAAAAAACCTTCCAAATAATAGCAAAAAAAAAAAAAAGCACCCTGTCATCTTGGAAGATGCAATGCCAGCAATCGGAGTATTTGTCACAG